TTGGGGGTAAAGGGCGGCCGGCGCGTAAGGCTGACAACCTTACCGCCATCTGTGAGCCGACTGTCTAGAAAATGTGGGAACCTAAACATCTCACAACCTTATGGGCCTTCACGGCCTGTTACAGGGATACATTTACTTTTTTTACTTTTTTACGAAAAAAATCAAAATTGAAAAATAAGTGAATATTGAAATTAAAAAGTAAAATATTTAAAAAATGTAGATTTATCCCCAATAATTTATGGCGACCAGTAAAAAAATTTCATAAATAGCTTAAACTCAGCTTCATAATAAAAATGTTATGACCGCCCAGCTTGGAAAATTGACCCCCTCCCCAAGGAGAGAGCCCTAGTGGCGCCCATATTAGGTGAGTGGGTTTATAGGCGCGTCAACAACTACTCTATTTGCGCCGATAATTCCCCTTTGGACACACTAGTTGTTCTGGTCTGACAGGATCCAAGACAAGAGCGTCTTTCTTCCTCACTCAGTCTTTCAGCCTATTCATGGCACAACAGTAGCTGTTGTAAATACAGAAGGATTATGTTTTTACTAATAACTTATGATAACGGTGAACATTGGATTACAACTCTGTTGAATAAACATGAGTGTATTTTCTTTCTACACTGTACACTGTCTTGTTAAGTAGTATTCTTAGGAATCAGGATTTGTTGCACCCTCCAGTTAAGGAGACTACTTGGTGGAGCTTATTATTGTGCTCTGTCACAGGATATCTGAGAGATGAATGAATGTTCTGAAGAGGAATTGTGGGTGGGGCACAAAACAACCATTCATGTTCTTTAAAATATGAATTTCACAAACAATTTTCAATATAAAGGGACTAACAAATAAGCAAAGTTGGGGAAATAATAATAAAATGATCTTTAAAGGAATATAAGCCGTACTTTGCAGACAGGAAGCCCATTAACACATTTACTTACTTACTCATGGAGCTGAGCCCTTCTTGAGGAGAAGCCAATTCTGCAGCTACTCAAGAATTTCCCACTTTATGGAACCCGAAGGTTCTTTACCGTGTTCACAAGAGCCATCCACTGGTCCCTATCTTGAGCCAGATCAATCCAATCCATAACATCCCATCCTATCTCATCCATTTTAATATTGTCCACCCACCTATGCCTTGGTCTTCCCAGTGATCTCTCCCCTTCTGGCTTTCACACCAATATCCTACATGCATTCCTCTTCTCCCCCATTCGTGCTACATTCCCTGCCCACCTCATCCTCCTTGACTTGTTCATTCTAATTATATTTGGCGAAGAGTACAAGTTATGAAGCTCCTAATTATGCACTTTTCTACAACCTCCCGTCACTTCATCTCTCTTCGGTCCACATATTCTCCTCAACACCCTGTTCTCAGACACCTTCAGTCTGTGTCCCTCCCTTCATGTCAGAGACCAGGTTTCACAACCATACAGAACCAGAGGCAAAATTATAGTTTTGTATAGTCTAATTTTTATGTTTTCGGGCAGCAGACGAGAAGACAAAAGGTTCTGCAGGGAATGGTAGCAAGCATTGCCCCCATTCTTTTTATTACTAGTGGGATGGACTAAGTCCCTTGTACCGCGCCCACTTCTGGCCTATTGTACCAGCGCCAGATGATAGGTGAGGGTGATTGTGGAGCAATTGGTGGAATGAAGATTGGCAGGGGAAACCGAAGTACTCGGAGAAAACCTGCCCCAGTGCCACTTTGTTCACCACAAATCCCACTTGACCAGACCCGGGATCGAACCCGGGCCGCCGCGGTTGGAAGCCAGCGACTAACCGCTTGAACTATGGCCCGGCCCTATACCCCCGTTAATGGATATGAGATTGAGAAGAAAAAAGATGTGTCTAATGTGGTAATTAGTTGGTTAGTCAGTTAGAATGCATTTAGTTCACATTATGGAAGCCTGATATGTATTCCAGTGACAGATGTGACAACTGTTTCTAAAACAGCATTCAAGTGAATGCTGAAATACACGTACTTAATTTAATTGGACTTCTTATTTCCCATCCAAATCCTTACAAATGCCCACTGAGTACTTTCATAGACACAGCTCATTTGAAATGATTCCTTTATTATTTTAAACTCCATCTATTATTGGAATGAGGGTGCATAATTTTTAGTAGTCCTGTAGAAAACTACACTACAACACACAAACTTTAATCGGTGTAAGGAAGGAGGTTGGTCCAAAAGTAAACACAGAGAAAACTAAGTATATGTTGCTGTCTCATTACCAAAATGCAGGGTAAAATTATGACATAAAGATAGGAAACAGACGTTTTGAAAATGTGGCACAGTTCAGATATTTGGGAACAACGATAGCAGATCGAAACCTGATTCAGGAGGAAATTAAGAGGCGATTGAACTCGGATAATGCTTGCTACCATTCAGTCCAGAACCTTTCGTCATCTCGTCTGCTGTCCAAAAACATAAAAATTAGAATATACAGAACTCTAATTTTGCCTGTGGTTCTGTATGGGTGTGAAACGTGTTCTCTGACATTAAGGGAGGAATATAGACTGAGGCTGTTTGAGAACAGGGTGTTGAGGAGAATATTTGGACCGAAGAGAGATGAAGTGACAGGAGGTTAGAGAAAACTGCATAATGAGGAGCTTCATAACTTGTACTCTTCTCCAAGTATAATTAGAATGATCAAGTCAAGGAGGATGTGATAGGCAGGGAATGTAGCACATGGGGGGAGAAGAGGAATGCATATAGGATATTGGTTGGAAAGCCAGAAGGAGAAAGACCACTGGGAAGACTTAAGGCGTAGGTGGGTTGACAGTATTAAAATGGATCTTAGAGAGATAGGGTGGGATGGGATGGATTGGATTGATCTGGCTCAGGATAGGAACCAATGGACGGCTCTTGTGAACACAGTAATGGGCCTTCGGGTTGCATAAAATGCTGGGAAACTCTTGAGTAGGTGCAGATTTTGTGGCTCCTGAAGAAGGGCTCTGCTCCATGAGTAAGTAGACGACAACTAGATTGTGCTAGATGCCGCTGTCAGTGCAGTGTATGATGATGAGAAACTCATAGATACATACGTGTACGTGGGATGTTTCTTTCATAAAGTCTTGTATGCAGATATGATGTAGCCTGGTTTGTGTACTAGATGGACTGAAAAAATTGAATATTTGATACTGTTGATGATTATTGTGCTTCTGATGGTGATTTGATTATTACTGAGTTTTTGTAACGGGTTGTGTAGACAAAATTATGATGCTCGAGGCTGACGTGGTGCTTGGAACTCTGAAAGGTGGGTCAGGGGATCTGATCCCAGTGATGGCACATCCACCAAACAATACCTCAGACCTGAGTCTAGATGGGTTCCTGACTGAGGTGGTGACTTATACGCAGAAGGGTCATCGTTGTGGCATCAAGCTGGACTTCAAAACGGTGGAGGTTCTGGCACCATCATTGACAACACTGCAGAGGCATGAGCACCAGGTAGCAACACACACAGTGGTTCTTAATCCCTTAATGCAAGCCTGAATTATATCTTTCTGAAATTAACCTTTTCCACACCAAGAATTAATTTTATTAAATAGCTCTGACATTAAGGGAGGAACATAGACTGAGGGTGGTTGAGAACAAGGTGTTGAGGAGATGGATGTGTAGCCAGGAACTCTGACCACTAGACCACAGAGTTGAGTCAACATTATAATCAGGCAAAATCTCTTACCTACTTCATGGTATTGCAGAAGTAGCAGAGGTAACGAATGTAATAGTGACCCATTAGGATACAATCATATATCTTTCTTGCAGATAAATTTTCCAGTGATGCTGAATGCAGACATCTTACCTGGACCTGTTGACAGCACCACAAAACCGGTTGATGCAGACACATTTCTTGATCTCTGCGTTACGCTGTTTCCCACAAGCACACTGTCCGTTGGCTGGACCACAAGATACGGTGGCTTAATCTTCAATGGTTCCTACTCTGAAGAACATGTGAGTAATAAACTAAACATATGAACATATTGATCGCATACATTTGTTCTGTGTTCTCTGATGTGGATAGTAGACATCTGTACCCCATCATTGTAAATGCTGTCTGCTTCCACCGCTGTTTCTTCGCTAATTTTTTTTATTGCTAGTGGGGAGGGACTAAGTCCCTTGTACTGCGGCCACTTCTGGCCTCTTGTACCAACCCCAGATGATACATGTAGATAGGTGAGGGTTATTGTGGAGCAATTGGTGGAATGAAGATTGGCAGGGGAAACCAAAGTACTCGGAGAAAACCTGCCCCAGTGCCACTTTGTCCACCACAAATCCCATTTGACCAGACCCGGGATCGAACCCAGGCCGCCACGGTGGGAAGCCAGCAGCTAACCACTTGAGTTATGGCGCGGCCTGTTTCTTCGCTAGGCAACTGGCAAGTATTCAGAAGTGACTTAATCCATATCTGTTTTCATGGTTGGTAGTTGTTAAATGTTTTAGGCATCATGGTGATAAACAATAGATAATTAGTCATCAGAAATATGTATTAATGAGGCCATCAAAATAAGTGAATGGTGCAATTTTGTCAAGATAAATAATATAACTGTTGTCTTGGACATGATATCATGAAATCATGTAGGTTCTTCCCAGTGTTTTTGATGAATCTGCAGCTCCTCAGCCCTGAAGATAGAGACTGGTTCCTCCAAATCATTGGGACAGACATACACATTGTGCCCCAGGGGATAATAGTGTGGGTCATTTAAGCAAAAAAGTGTACCTATACATGTGTCCTGTTCTGAACAGTTTCCGAGATACAGCTATTTCACTGTGCAGTTCCAAAACTGTTGATAAGAAAGACATATTACTGTTTCTAATACCGGTATTTGTTATTCAAGTGACAAAGTTGGTACAGTTTACCTAATACCACCATTAACATTAATGCACCTTGCAACTCATGTGAGGACATGGCGTGTTGCTCGTCTGTACAGTGTACAGTACAGTGAAATAGCTCTTTCTTGGAAACCGTTCGGAAGAGGACATATGTACATATACACATACACTTCTTGCTTAGAATGACCGATAATGTGAACTCCCAAATATTGACCTTTGCATCTGGGACATTCTGTATATTCCCATGAACTACTGTTCTATTACTGGTATTCATTGCTGTAGTGCTTGTCCCAGGAAGCAACTGTATTCATAATTACTGCAGTGAGAACCTAAGATCTCACCCATTTTAGTGGCCTGCAGTTTATTTTAAGTGGAATGCAGTGAAGAACAAACTTTATTCATGGTTATCTTATAAATAAAGTTAGATGAATGAAATAATCATTAATGGAAGTAGAAACTGTAGGAAATAGGGTGACAGGTCAGATTACAAATTACTCTTTAAGAAATAAACTGTTCAATAAATACAGAATTTATAATGGAATAGGTCCACAAGCTGTTAAACAGACATTCTCTTGTGTAATTTTTATTACCACTTTTATTCGCCGTAACAACTTACTAGTGGCAGGGAGTTTAACATTCCCATTACATTCCTTTGTGGTGTGATGTTTAGGAACAGGAACATTTTTCCTTCAAACTACATTAGACTAAGCTCAGTAGAGCACAGTCCTTTTTGAGAACGTTACAATATCTCAGGTTGTGAAGAAATTCTCTGCTGTTTGTTGACCCTGAATCTTTATTTCTCTGTTCAACAGAACCTCTCACTTGTTCCTATGTTCAGATAATTCACATGCTCAAATTCTATTTCTTAATGACCCATTTTAATATTATCCCCTCGTGTTCCGGTGGTCTGCTTTCTCCACATTCTCCTGCTAAAATTTGTTATGCATTTTTAATTTCCCCCATCCATGCCGCCATCACCATTCTCTCACCCTACTTGATTACCCCAGTAATGTCTGGTGAAGGATACATCACCTGTTGCCTTACTGGCTGTATTACTGGTTGTCTGTGTTGTATTCAGGTGAAAGCAATGGAAGAAGTCCTGAAGCGACATCAGGTAAAGCAGCCTCTGACTTTCCCTGTGCGAGCAGGAATGGTCGCTAATTCTGGAATCACTTTAGCACGCCTCAAGAACAATGTACCCAACAGCACCTTCACAATCTGGAGCTCTGATACTGATGCTGTAAATGTAAACAATCTCCGGGAAGTAATCCTGAACATTTTGGGCATTGACCGTGTATATGTGGACGTTCCAAAATCACTGTTAGACAAGCTCCAATTGTCAAGTAGTGACAGGCAACGGACATCATCAGCCGCTCCTCTTGCTTCTGTAACTGCTGTGTTTGTTTCCATGGTATCAATGATACTTCTTAAATTCAAAAGAAGAATGTAAATTTGTGTGTATATATCAGTATGGCAAGTACGTGTGCATGTGATAATACTTCTGTGAACAAATAAAACATCATGTCTCATAAAACTCATGAAATTCCTTGTCTAGCTAAGCATCTGTTAGCTTGTCAATAAGGACTGTGGTCCGTTAAGACTGTTAATATGATATAAAAAGTGGAAAGAGCCCCAGTAAAATAGGGCACTTTAGCTAGGAAATAAAGAAACTTTGTGCTTATTGTGTTAATAATTTCATGTCCATTTAGACATAAGTTTCATGTATGAGATTTCTGATCCTCACAGTGGTAGCCATGAATAAAAGTGCCTTCTGGCCTGTAAAGGCCCGTTTCCTTGTGACTGCATTCTACCGCTGATAGGTTCACTTGAAACCATTGTATCTCCCTGCCATAGGAAAACAGATCCTTCAAGGGACCAATATTCTTCACACTGCTCCTTTTACCACTGTTGGTTCATTCAGGGCCCCAGTACTAGTTCTTTCTGTTCTATATCCCCACTGTTTTTTTCTGAAATGTCAACTATACAACAGGAGCCCACACAGGATCAGCGCCAAGACAAGACAAGCCAGTCAAAGGTCTGCTGAGTCCTGATTCTTGTCTGGCTCACCTTGAAGATGAAATCAGTGTTAATGTTAATGATTTATCATACTAAATGATGTCATATCCCAAAAGGCAGTGTTTGATATGTAGGTCGAGGGTGTGTAAAAAATGGTTAAGATGTGATTGTTAATTTCTGTCTAATGTCTATCTTCGAAATATGTATGTTATCAGATGCAGTGATACAGACACAGTGCCATGTATTATCTAGGCTTATCATGTGATAAGATAACATTGAATTGGAAGTTATTTGAAGAAAGCAGTCTTCTGGGATTTGGCACCGTGTATATGTGGTGTTAACCGACACGGTGCCAAATCCCAGAAGACTGCTATCTTCATAGCCACCGCCGTGAAAGCCTCAAATCTTACACATTGAAGTTATTTGTTTTGTAAATGGTAATCGACATGTCACACAGCCAAGCAAGTTGGCACAAGTGGTAACTCTTCTGAGTTGTTCATGGGTGGTGTACCATTTGAATCTCATTTGAGAGACTGACTATCCTGATGGAGTTTCATGTGGTTTCTCACAGTCAAATGTCAGAATAATACATGAAATTAGGTCACATCAGCGTCTTTCAATGTCATTACCAGTCCATTATTCATTAATCATCCTATTATTTGACATTGTATGATCCTAGCAGGGGCACACAGTAGCGTAGTTGGTTGAGGGGCTATGCTACAAGCCGGAAGGTCGCCGGTTCAAATCCCGATGAGATCATTGGATTTTTTCAATTGACCTAATCCTTCCAGCTGCACTAGGCCCTGGGGTTGACTCAGCCTCTAACAGAAATGAGTACCAGGAATTAATTAAATAATTTTCCAGGGGGCTAAAGTGCAGCCAGTGTGTAAGGCTGACAACCTTACCGCCATCTAAGAGCCGATTGTCTAGATAATGTGGGAACCTCAACGTCTCACAACCCTATGGGCCTTCACGACCTGTTACAGGGATAATTTTACTTTTTTTATCATCCTAACAACTGATAGTAGGTACTATAAGTAGATAGAATGTACAGTCTTCAGGTTTTGCTCACTTCTGGCCCAAAGATGAAGAAAGTGTTCTAGCATGTACAGTGATAATACTTGAAGCACACATACCATTGCTTTTACTGCTCTCCACAACTAGCTTGAGATTAGTTTGAATGTGGTTTGCATAGAAATGGTATAGTGACATAACAACAACTCAGTATATATTAGACGAACACTGCCTGATTGGACTGATATATGTATATGGACTGCAGGATACGGTTTATGATTGACACTCTGTTATGCTGCTACCGAGACATATTTTTGAAGTGCATTAACAGATGGCTACTCTGTATTATAAGGAATTCGTTCTATTTGTAGGTTAAATATGTAATGAATAGGAAAAAGAAGGGAGAGTTTGGACAAGTAATATGGGAAACAGGATATACACCAGGGAGATGAATGAAAGTGGATATGAAAGAAATGATTCCCAGTAGAATTTCAACAGGCTTTATCTGCAAATTTTGTCAAATGACAAATATTTCTGTCAAACATGCACAAAAAGTGAAATTTATAGAACTAGTAAATTGATAATATAAATCATTTTTTCAAAAACTTTGACAACTCACCTCCATCTATTACTGAGGTCAAGGAAAGTGGAGCTATAACTCCCCTCCCCTATATATCTTCGTGGTATAGTGCTTACCTAATTAAGCACAGGGACAGCTTTACCTTTCACCCACTTCTAAGACTGTAAGAATGTAAGACTGAAGTGATTGATAGAAAAGTGAATGTATTTGTGCCCAGTTCAAAGTCACTGTTTTTTTGACCATTTGCCTGAAGAGACTTATACAGTAAACATAAAATTTGGCATTGAACATGTTTGTTAAGCCTACAGTACTCTAGACTTTTATAAGGGAGGTACTCACGAAGATTGCAACTATGGTTTTCCTCAGCACATCCCAGTAAATACCAGGTTAGTACCTCGATTAGGCAACGTCCACTTTCTTCCAGATCCTTTCCAAATCATTGTTCATCGTTCACCCTACCATTTGATTTATTATTTTCTAGATGTTGACGGAATAAGTCACAGAGAAATTAGTGAAATAAAAATTTAAATCCTGCATGTCCAAACCATTAATTTTCCTTTGCAGACCTGGAAGCATCAGCTGATGTAATAAATTGTCCACTCTAGTTCTTACAGATGCAGATGTGTGAATATTTTTGAATGACACTTGTTTATCACTGCTTATTATCAGCATCCCCAGGCTGACCAGTCAGGCTGTCAATTCCAAAAGGAGCAGTTCGTGAAAGTGGATGGCTTCAGATGAAGAGCTGTGGACTTGTGAAGATAGGTATGTAAACAGTCAAGTAGTTCTAAACTCATAACTTAACTCCATGGAACTGAGTACTTACTTACTTATGGAGCTGAGCTCTTCTTGAGGAGCTGCCAAATCTGCAGCTGCTCAAGAATTTCCCAGAATTTTATGGAACCCAAAGGTTCATTACCATGCTTATAAGAGCTCTCCACTGGTCCCTATACTGAGCCAGACCAATCTAATCTGTACCATACCATCCTGTCTCTCTAAGATCCATTTTAATATTGTCCACGCACCTACACCTTGGTCTTCCCAGTAGTTTCTTTCCTTCTGGCTTTCCCACCAGTATCCTATATGCATTACTCTTCTCCCCCATTCGTGCCACATGCCCTGCCCACCTCATCCTCCTTGACTTGATCATTCTAATTATACTTGGAGAAGAGTACAAGTTATGAAGCTCCTCATTATGCAGTTTTCTCCAGCCTCTTGTCACTTCATCACATCTTTTAAAACTAGTCATTGAGGTAAATGTTGCACCTTATAAGGAACGCAAAGATGCATTGCTGTATTCACAATAGCTCTCACTGGACAGTATACTGACCCAGATAAACACAGTTCAAATTCCACTTCTTTATCATGTACTCTGTTGTAATTCTCCCCTCTGTGCCTAGTTTTTTCAGTTAGTTTCTCTCCTCCATATTTCTATAATAAAGGTAAAGTTTTCCCTGAGCTTAACTAATTAAGCACTATGCTATGAAGGCGTATGGGGGAGTGGATATATAGAGTCATATTTTCTTGATCACGGCACTAGTTGGAGGGGAGAGGTCAGCTTCACACCCTGAACACTTTACCTCCAGAGAAAGAGCCCCCGGTACCCATTGATTAGGAAGTTGGGTGGACCCCAGAGACAGTTTGGAAGAGATAAAGAAGTGAAAATTCTTGACCCTACCGGGACTTGAAAACCGACACCTCAGTTGTCCAACCCGTAGCCAGTTGCTATACCTACTGAACTATCGTGGCTCATCTCATATTTCTATAATACACATTTTAATTATGTGCCAGCATTGTCAGACTCAATTCTCTGAACACTCATTAAGGTATAGTAAAAATTAAGTAAAGTAATCTGTTTAAATTGACAGAACGATGTATCTCGTATATTAAGATCCCTGTTCAGGGCAGCTCACTTTCTACATTAAAGCCCCAATTTAAGGCAGTTTGCTTTTACACCAAGTCTGCGGTTTAAAGCAACTCGCTTATACACTTAAGTCCTCAGTTTAAGGCTGTCTGCTTATGCACTATGGCTCCCCAGTTTATGGTGATTTGCATATGTGCATAAACCCCAGTTTATGACGATTCTCTTGTACATTATGTCCCTGGTTTAAGGCCATTTGCTTATACACTAAGACTCAGATTTAAGACAGTTCCTTTTATTCACACCCAGGTTTATGGCGCTTCGCATATATGTTAAGTATCCTGTTGAAGGCCATTTGGTTACACATTAAATCCCTTGTTTGTGGCGCTTCGTTTTAAATTAAGATCCCAGTTTAAGGCTGTTCTCTTATATACTGAGTACCTGGTTTAGGGCTGTTTGCTTGTACACTAAATCCCTGGTTTAAGGTGGTTCATTTACATATATGCAAAGTCTCTGGTTTAAACAGGTTCGTGTATACACTTAAGTCCCGAATTTGAGATGGTTCACTTTTACACTAAGTCCAGAGCAGTAATTTTCTACTGGCATTAGCTCCCACAGTCATGATTTCGGGCCCTGTCGGTACCCATGACCATATTTTTTGTTCTTTCTAAGATATTTATGTGTTTTGAAATGGGGCCTCCTCTTTGATGAGAGGAAAAGTTGGCCTTTCTGTGACTACCCTAAACAACAGCCTAAATCTCTGGTTTAAGGCGGTTCCTGTACCGTTTATGATAGTCCAAGGACTGCAGAAGAAATTTTAACCCCAGTGGTACAAGCCAGCATCTTGCCTCTGAATAAGGGTATATCCATTCATGCTGTTGTTGCTTCAGCGTTGCTATATATCCTGTCTCTTTCCAACTTTGTTCACTTGTGTCCTGAAGATGGAAACGGAAGTTCTTCTGAATTTTTTGTAACTTCCTCCCAGAGTAACAGAATACCACACAGTAAGGCCTCATCAAGAAAATCTTAAATATCTCGTAGACTAACCCGCAACTTATATTGCAGCAAGGTGGCATGCATAGGCCGCGCCATAGCTCAAGCGGTTAGACACTGGCTTCCCACCGCGGCGGCCCGGGTTCGATCCCGGGTCTGGTCAAGTGGGATTTGTGGTGGACAAAGTGGCGCTGGGGCAGATTTTCTCCGAGTACTT